TAAAATTATACTAAACAAAATCCAATTTATCATTATACAAAAATTCATAAATTATCACTAATCATATATTCAATTGCAATTCCATATTAATTTCTGCAATTCTAGCTTTCCATGAATCAACATCCTTTAATTTGGCCTCTAAAGCAGCCACTTCTTTATCCAAAGACATACGTTCTTGTTCAGTACCGATAGCCGAAAATTCATAGGTACCTTCATCTCCAAGACGTAGTAAATGCGAATGATATTTGAATAAAGATGGTCGATGGGATATGGTAATAAGTGCTACAAAATGTATAATTGTTACAACAAATATTATTTAATTATACTGTTAAATATATATATATAATTACTTATGCCAATATCTTTTGCATGCTGATACATCAATCCCTCAACTTCAGAGCTCACAGCGCTTGTGCCTAATATTAAAGTATTGTAGAAGGAATTTAATGTCCAAGTTATTTGAAATATTTTATAATGGTGTAATGATGAAATAATATGCCATTATGAAAGATGAGTAATGGCAAATGAAAATTTGTAACAATTTTACACATTCGATAGTTTTATTTTAAGGGGTTTAAATCTGATTCTGCTATTTATGCTGAATAGTGCTACTGGAAATTGGGACCATAAGTTAAAACTATCGAAAACTGCGTAAAAGCATTACAAGTATTCGCTGGGTACCACTCATATATAGAAGATGAACCATCATAAATAGATAATGCTTACATTCATCCAGAATTGCAAACTTTGGATGATGGTAGAAAAGTCTTGCAATTCCGATCTAAGGAATCAATAAAAAAAGAATATGAAAATTCGAAAGTTCACAATGCAAAATCAGGTATGTATAAACTATACCCTTTGTTTTTCTCCACCAGAAAAGACATCTTTCCATTCTTTTTGAGTTTCCCATCCACCTTCACGATCAGGTATGCTAGCTAATTTAACTATACGTAAAATATCGAGCAGTTCTTGATCAGTGCGGCCGGAACGAATCATATCCGCCAAAGAATGTGGGTAAATGATCCTTCATGAAAACAAGAAAGTTAAAAAAAAAGTAATCAACGATAATAAATGATAAAAATGGTAAGAAAACAAACGTACTGATCACGAAGAGTGCCTATACTAAGATATGGACGTTGGGGAACATAAAAAATATCTTTATCTTCGGGCCTAGATAGTCGACCTCCTATAACAATAGGATACTAAAATTAGCATTTGTTTGCAACACGCATTATAATTCTAAAACCATAAAAAAATAAAAATAAAAAAATATTACGAAACAAAGGCCATAATCTACTGATTACTCTCGCAACACTCGTTTTACCGACACCGTTTGGTCCAGTAATCAACCAATGTTCACCAGGACGTATCGCAAGATTTAATGACTTTATCAATTCTTCACCTCCTCGCTCGTTTCCTGCGTTAGGTGCAACAATCGGGACACTTTCAAATTTTATTCCATCGTAACCACGAAGAACCTCACCACGTATATCACCAAGTGAGTAAAATTCTTGATCATCGGGAAAATCCAATGGACGAGGTGTTGCAACATATTCACCGGCGTACAGGGAATGTAAAGCGGCAAGTAAATTATAGACTCTAGAAGTATAACCAGCGAGTTCAGCAAGTTCTTTGTAAGAATACATCATACGACCTCCAGCATCAGCAAGTGTCAACATGAGCCTTGAAGTATAGATAGTCATCAAATAAATTGACGATTGAATCAATTTAAAACATTAATATTTAATAATAAATAAATAAATAAATAAATATAGCTTACCTTTTATTAGTAATAAATGCTTTTGTGCGATCTCTTTCTTTTCCATAGATGGTACTACCATCCAGTTCTTGCCTGCCTCCTCGGCCGCCCCAGGAAGGAAAGAAAACGGGTACGGAACACATTAAAAGTCCAATCGCACTCCAACAATATTTGATTATAAAGTCCTCAAACATATTATACGCAATACGGATTTTAAAAATGGAATTTATATGTTTAATAAGTTTTGTATAAGTACGATCCAGAATAGAAAGTTCCAAATCGGCACCATTATAAAAAGCAATTTCTTCAGCATTAGTAATAAGGCGAGTGTGTGCAGCACGAAAATCGCCTTCCAATTTTGCTTCATGAGCAGCCAATTTACCGAAAGCAGGGGTGGCCTTTCTTAATATCCATGCAGTAAGTAGGTAATTTCCAAATAACCCCATCATTCCAGCAACACCAATACTTTTTGTTAATTGATAATTAAAAATAATTGTATCCAATAATGGTTTACCCAGATTAGAATATAAAGAAGCAAGACCATCACAAAAACGAGCTATATCAGTGGTTATGAATCTAATATTGTAAATAAAATGAATGATATCATTATTTAAGGCAAATACTTAATTTCGTTAAAGCAGTGAACTTACTGATCAGCACCATTAATTCTATTATCAAGATTAATTGCTTTATAATAACCGTTCTCTTTATTTAAATAAAGATCGTGCACATAACGTGTTAATCGCGTTCTAAAAGCGATAGATAACTTTGACTGGAGATAACGAATCTAATATTTAAATACAACAAGCATTTCCTATTTAGGACAAAAAATGACAGGCGATCATTAACTCATGAGATATTAATACTTACCATGCTATTTGTGTATGTCGCTGGAATTGCTATAGCAATTGAATATATGATTAGTGATAATTTATGAATTTTTGTATAATGATAAATTGGATTTTGTTTAGTATAATTTTA